GAAAGGATGGAGAGGGAGAGGAGGCAGGTTCACTGTTAATGCATTTAAAAAACACTGCCTAACTTCAAATAATTTAGTGAATGACTTCTATATTGTTATTTCAATAAAAAGAACCCCCACTCCCCAACCTCCCTTTACTGCTATTTACCTTCACAACAAACACATTGCAAGAAGAAACCTCTTCCAGATATCTATTGTGAACACTGTCGAGGTATAGAACATCAGAATAGCCTTTTTCTTTAGCAGCACTCTGTGCCTTCAGGACCTATGAATTTACAATTGAAAAGGATGCTAGCATAAATCAGTCTTCATTTAAACAGTGGGATGTTATTATGCTTTAAAAATGGGACTTGGATGAAATAAGCTCTCTGTGAGATGAGACTACTTACTGCAGCATAATTTCCTATAGTCTTGACGCTTCCAGTACCCCCAGGGGTTGCACGATGCATTTCAGTTTCAACCACCAGATTTATTGGTGCTAAACCTTCCTGCCATTATAAAAATAACCACACAAAAAATGTGTAAAGCAACTATAAACTCGAACAGCTCTCCCTGCGTACATGAAAATAGACATAGAAAGCATATGCCACGCACGAAAGCTTGATAAGTTGATATTTATAAGACCCCGTACAAATAATGCATTATGTATTATAACCTAGAAAGTTGACACACATATACCTTGAAGTAGTTACCCACAGGCGAGACATAAATTAAAAAGGTATATTCTGGAGCTGGGGCAAGGCCAAGGACAGCTCCACTCCCCATAAGCAATGGTCTAATGTACAATGACCCTTTACCTGGTGGTGGAATCTGAAACAAGTAATAAGATAATATTGATCGAAGTCCCAAAATTTATCAAATACAGAGTATAATATGTGGACCTGGTTTTGTTTGGACTGTGGAAAATGGCAGTTATAGGGAAAAAATTCCTATTATTTTAATACTTTTACAATGTTTACAGATTTTAAATACTCCGTATTAACTAGTCTTCATGTAACTGAAATATATAAACAAAATGTTTTTGAACAAAGATCTATAAGATAATTATTGAGTTCAAAGAAATTTCATTATTTTCCTCAAGATTTGTTTCATTCGAAATATCCTAGCAATTCTCTTTCCCTAGCTATCGCAAATTACAGGTTCCAAACAAACCCTAATAGGCAAAAGGTAGTTTTACCCATCTCTTGTTTGCGAAAACAGTAGCTTTCACTGCATCAAGAAACTGCTCAACTGTTGGTGAAGGCATGCACATACGCTCAGCACCAATCTTCAAGCGCAGCGCATTTTCCTCGGGTCGAAACAACAAAATGTTTCCATCATCTTTTCTGTACGCTTTTAGACCTTCAAACAATCCCTGAAGTATAAACATTAAACACAAGAAAAGCTACCTCACACAGAAGTATAGGATATTTTGAGTCAGAATCTTATGCTATTTTTATCCAGCCGATAACAAAAGGGTCAAATAAAAACCTGGCCATAATTTAGTATCCCCGCAGATGGGCTCAACTCGATGTTCCCGAAACGCTGTAATTCGCCTTTGGTAAAGTTTTTGCCTTGAGCACATTTCATGATATACATGTAATCAGTAGGCACAAATCCAAATCCGAGGTTGTCCCAGTCAATATCTCCTAATTCACTTGTAACACTGCTGCTGTCAAATTAGGCGAAGATTTTCCATAAATAAACTGATCACTTTTCTGAGAATGATAAACAAATCGATTTTACATTTTTACAAAATACTTATTACCTAGCACTCAGAGAAAGAAAAAAAAACTTTCACATATAAGACAATTCAAGTGAAAACCAATGCAACAATTGTGAAAATAATAAATGTATAAAGTTTTGCAATCCTTGTAAATTCTATCAAACTTCAACCAAAGAAAAAGAGGATAACATGGAAATCACAAACCTCGTGGGCGATGCCACTCGCAGAGTATTATTACAGTGAGAAACATGAGGCTGCTTTTGCAAAAAAAAACTAAGAAATTAAGAATTTCACATAGAGAAAAGGAAATGCAAATACAGAGGACAAAATCAGAATACCTTGGCAATGAGAGGGCAAAATTGCCTTCTATTAAGAGGCGGAAACTCAACAGGGCCTCGAGGGGGAAGGAGGGGACGGTGGCAAAGACCGGGAGTAGCCTGAAGTCCGGCGAACACGGCAGCGCATTCCATTTCTTCTCTCTGGCTTATTTGCCCTGTTGGACTATTGAAGAGGAAAGAAGGTTGAGTCCGATAACAAATGGAAACTCATAAAAAGGCAATAGCGCTAAAGTAGGAAACAATCTCTGCCTTAATTACAGTGGCGGCGGCGGCTTCCTCGGCGATTAGGGCATCTCCATCAAGGAATACGGAGTCATGAATGGAGAACCAAAGTGAAATAGAGATAGGGGAAGACACTCGCAGCTTTTTAGTTTTGCAAATA